ACATGTGATGAAGGTTAAGGGTGATAATCCACTTCTAAACCAGTCTTTGTTTTAACTATGTAATCATGCAGAAAGTATATTTAATGAGTTTTAGGTATTTGTTCCACAATTTCCCTTTAATCGTGTTCATAGATGTATTCATGAAGAAGCAGGTATGTCGAAATCTTAATTTTAGGTTTTTAAAACTAATTTTTCACGTTACATTAACTACCGTTTTGCTTCAGTGTTTCGTCACAAACCCGTCTCTCAGGCTCGAACGGTAAAAGTTTGGCTCAGCTGCCCACGGTTTCATGCCACTGCTGTTTAGTTGAGCTGTTCTCGCCTGTGTCTGCTTCAGTAAAAGCTGGAGATCATCACACATCATTGAACCTGATGGATTGTCTTGCTTCTTTGAAGCAAAAAAAAAACAAAACAAAACAAAAAATGTCACTCATCCTTGGCTTCCTGCTTTTATTTTCATCCTTTCAATACTTTACTATTTCCACTCTTTCAGTGCGTCAATCAACATCCATCTTTACCCACTTCGTCTGTCTGGGTCATGGATGTGCAGAAGTCAGGATACACCCTGGACAGGTAAGAGCATTAATGAAGATACAGGTAAAAAGCGACACACTTCCATGGAGTGAAAAGCTGCACTATGCAGGGAAATATGAGGGGTGCCACTGAAGCTACTGCTGAAACTGCAACATCTTGTTAATCAATTTTCTTCTCTTAAAGGGTGTGTGTATGGGGGGGATATTCTGTATTTTCCAGGCACATAATTGACCTCAGTCTCTTTAAGAACCTTCTACCGTTTCCAACACTCCAATTTTAGCACATCATCACATTGATGCTTCATGTGAGGGGTGCTCTGTGGGGGCCGGAGCTCAGCTGGGCACTGAGCTCCAGGGAGGAGCTTTTCAGAAACAGGCGGGGCTTTGTACCAGCAAACGTTTAGGCAGCTCCACATCAGATAACAAAGGTGGCGTTTTGCTTTGAAACAGCATGGATAGCTTTGAGGAGCAGTTATTGGAGGCAGTTTACACAACTGTTCCAAACACTTGTAAAATGAGTCAAATGGTCAAAAGCTCATTGATGTAAGGAGCTCAGACATTCTGCTCAGAGGAGTCCGTCTGTCTAAAAACATGACGCTCTACCTGTGATAATTAGCAGCCAAATGGTGAATATTGGAACGTTGTCTCCAACAGGACGTGTTCAGCAACAGGAGAGATTTCCCAGAAGCTTTGCGCCGTGCTTCTCATGGACGTCGAGCAACCGGATGGAGCGGGCTGGGCAAAATAGTTTCTTATTTTTACAAGATAGTTTTAATGTTATAGCAAGATACAGCTCAACAATAATTTGTGACCCATCACATCAAAATGAGGATTAAGTCCAAAAGTGGAATGTGGAGAAATAAGCTGATAGCGTTTTGATTTAAATGTGTGCAAAAATTGCATTGATTTGATTTGATTTATTGATTCAACAGGAAAAGATTACTAAAAATCAAGCCTGACTCAGCATAATTGCTGTTTTACAGCAGGTTCCTGTTCTGCAGCACATAAAACACTCAGAAATACAGCATCACAATCACATCATAAAACACCGTAGACACAAAGACAAACAAGCATACCATATGGATGGAGGACAACAG